TGTCGCATTGGCGGAAGCCATATTGAATACTGGCAAAACATTTTATTTTCCAAAAAAAAAATGCCTCACGTTTCCTAACGGAATTTTTATGGAGTTAGACCTGTATTTATATATCATTGATTTAGCTATAACTATTTCAATTCAAGTTTAACTCAAAGTTTTCATCTGGTATAAGAGATAAATCTTGCAAATATTCAAACATGTAATTATCAATAACAACACTTTTCACAAAATGGTATTTATGTATTAAACTGTTTATGTATTAAAGGTTCTTGAAACTTCATTGCTCGTTACTTGTTTAATAACATTGTCAGCTAATTCATTGTTAGAATTTTAACCTACTTTCCATAATGAACTTTATAAACCTTTCCATTATGACATTATCTAGAAAAATAAATGAAAAATTGTTACCTATAAAAATGACATAAAACAACATAAATTTATATGAGGGCATGATGAGAATAAATTAGTAAAAAAACTTGATTTCGAAAACCTTGTTTATAGTTATCGTTTTTAATACTGTACTTTATAATAAAGGATTATTGATTAAACTTTCATTTTACTTTGGTCAGAAATATGATCTTTATCTTTTGCCCAAGCATTCTTAAAAGTTTCTTTATTAATTGCTTTTTACATATTAACTAAAAAATTAATATAGTTATCAATTAGTTTCCAGACAAATCACACAAATAAAAAATGTTTAACAATAAAATAATATAAAAAAAAAGAGTTCAAATACATCAGGTAGAAATTACTCATTATTAAACACTACTACTTTCCACTCCTCTGAAATTAATTGTTGCAGAATCGCAGTGCCGGTTTAACCAACGGACACACTGGAAACTTGCCGGGAGGCCACTGAGTTCAAGGCATCTAAGTGAAAATTTGAGAGATATACAATTTAAAAAAACTATTATTATTGATGATAATCATTTCACGGATCAGACAAAAAACTAGCATCGATACGCAACGGAAACTTTATTTGATGTATTGAGCTGTTAGTAAAACTTGAACCTATTCCTCGCCCAAAATTTGAAAACTCATGGAAACAAAGGAAAGAGTTGTATCTCGTACTTATCTAAAGACATTTGCGAAGAACTCATACACTTATTAGTCACCGATGTTATGGAATTTATAGGCAATATGATCATCCTTAAGTTCTATTTACAAGCTGATTAAAAATTATTTATAAAATTAAATAAAACATTTTGTATTTGTGATTGTGCATACTTATTAACAAATATTTTCTATATAGGCTCTTCTTGGTTTCTTTGCTCTTGGTTTTGCTGATCTTAACGACGAAGTTTTAATCAGATCTTAACGATGATCAGAAAGCAAAACCAAGAGCAAAGGCCTTCTTTTGACCAAAATGGAACAACCTGAGATATCTTTTTTAATAATCATTAGGAACAGAATCATGGAAAGGTTAAACAAATTTAACCAGAAACTGCAGTTCGTAAAGCTTGATTTAGATATGGTTGAAAAACTGTACTGGAACATTATGCATAGCAAGTTCGCTCCAATTTCAAGCAATATGAAAAGGAAGCCGTGTCTTTAAACAACGCAGACGAAAATGTATATGTTCAAAGGTTCCCAAGAGCACACTGGAATACATGTTAGACTCTCGCACAAACTCGTTTGTCAGCTTGTACTGATGCTTGTTTAGCTATTTAAAAGGTTTATTCTATTTACAGGGTCATTAAGAATTATTTAGATAATTAAATAAAAAAATATTTTATTTATGATTGTCCATACTTATTAACAAATATTTTATATATAGACTCTTCTTGACTTTAACTAAGATCTTTAAGTAAAACCAAGAGCAGAGGCCTTCAGACTTTTGACCAAAATGGAACAACTTTGAACAACTTGAGAACAACAATTCGGAACAGAACCATAGAAATGTTCAACAAAGTTAACAAGTAACTGCAGTTTGTAATTCTTGATTTAGGTATGGTTGAAGAGCTGTATAACTCTCTGAAGCATTATGTGCAGCAAGTTCGCTCCAATTTCAAGCAATATGAAAAGGAAGCCATGTCTTTGGTCAACGCAGATGAATATGTATATGTTCAAAGGTTCCCAAGAGTACGCAAGAAGCATTACAATGATGAAATTAACAGTGTGGAAACTACAGTGTTTTCTGGGCAATCTTAAATAATTGCCGACCTTAATGAGATTACGGATAAACTAATGAGTCATCTAGATGAAAGAAAGAAAGCCTATTCTGAGTTGAACTTTCTGTTTGGTTTTCTTGTGAATCTCTGCAGCATGGATATCTCGGAGATTACTTGCATTGCACTAAAACTTGTTGACCGATATCCTATTGATCTTAACTTTCCCTAATTGAACGATTGTTTTCATTTTGGAGCTTTTCTTCAGGAACGTCACTCAGATCTTTCTATTGTTCAAATAGAAAATTGGGTATTGGATTCCATCAACCTAAAAGATATTATATCTGCATGTGCAAGCTTAAAATGCAGACGAAAGGAGTTTTAAAACCTATACAAATTGCAGCGTGTTTTTTATACAAAAGAAAATAAATTATAAAACTATAGCGAAACAATTACAAATTTTTTTTATTTTAAACTGCTGTTAAATTTGAGTACTAAGAGGCCAACAGGGGCCAGAAGGCCTAGAGTGCCGGGAGGCCAAGAAGTATTTAACCCGGCCCAGCAGAATCTTTGTAAAATGTTACACGAGAAGATAAAGTTATCATTAAATAACCCATTATTAGATTATCAATAATTTTTATTAATTAACCCATCATTACATCATCAGTATAAAATAATGAAAAAGGAAACAAAATATTTTTTAAAATGTTTAAGCATTACTACCCCGCTACTTGTTTTAATGTAAATTGATTTCTTTAGTTTTCATTCTCTTGCGTTATATATCTTTTTATTTTTTTTAATGTTGCGTTATATATCTTTTTATTTTTTTTAATGTTGAACAAAAGTAACAAAAAGTTTTTTTCTGCTTTTTTGTCAGGTATTTAAATTTTTTTAATATGACTGTTTAGAAGTTGACCTTCAGATAAGTGCTACTACAATACTTACTAATAGCTAAACTTAATGCTTATGATTTTGTCTTAAATCCTTTGAAATTTATTAAAAACTATTTAGATGATCGATACCAAAAAACAAAAATGAACTCATCATTTAACTCTTGGTCAAAAGTATTACAAGGTGTACCGCAAGTTTCGGTGTTAGGACCTCTACTTTTTAACATTTTCTTTATAATGAATTTTGTAATTTTGCAGATGACAATACTTCTTATATAATAGATAAAGACGTAAGATAATTCCATAAACTTGAGAATAATAATGAGCTGATTGTAAAGTGATTCAAATGTAACTGTTTAAAACTTAATCCTAAAAAATGTCATTTAATAGTTGCGGGACATAAACATAAAATAACTTGGATACATATTGTTCATTATCAAAATTGGGAAAAAAATGATGTCAAACTAGTTGAAATAACTATAGACAACAAATTAAATTTCAATAAACATCTTACTCAAGTCTGCCCCAAAGCGAATCAAAAAATTAGCGTTCTTAGAAGAGTAACAAAGTATATCGACATTCAGAAAAAGAAAGTAGTGTTAAAAACCTTCTTTAAATCACAGTTCATGTACTTTCCTCTTGTGTGGATGTGTTGCAGTAAAGCAACAAAGCAAAAATTAATAAGTTGCATACAAGGGTTCTTCGATTGATATACAATGATTACGAATCGACATTTGAAAAGCTTTTAGAAAAAGATAACTCTGTACATCAAAAAAATGTGCAGTTTTTAGTTCTAGAAATGTTCAAAATTAAAAATGAACCTAACAAAAGCTCACTAAGTGACATAATATTTGTTAATAAGAAAACGCTCAATACACGAAGTAATGATTAGTTTCGTACCCCTCGAATTAAATTGGAATTGTAGGAAAAATAACCAGTTTGCTATCTAGGACCATTAATGTGCAGCTTGATCTCAAGAGACATTTCTTCCTTAACCAATATTATAAGTTTTAAGAAAAAAATTAGAATGTGATAAAATTGAAGAAAAATTTAGAATATGATAAAATTAAAGTAGCTATTATAAATAGAACAAGTTTACATGTGGTGCAAGGTCACTATCATCTAAATTACACACTATCATCGGTTTATATAGTTCAGTATTTTACTGTGACTTAGTTTATACAATATATTTGTAAAATTTACCGATGTTAAATAAAGTTAAATAAATAAAATAGATAATTAAACGACTAGTATTAGATTTTTTTATGGAGATCTCACGTTGTTTTGAATGTAGCTTACGTGTTAAACTTCCACATTTTGGAAATTTACACTACAGGTTCTCACTTAAATTACTTTTTGTTTAGCATCAAAATTTTCTAAAAAAAGTGGGGAATGAATGTCTGCATATGTTTTTTTAAGAATTTAGATCAATACATCATTATATGATAAATAGCCTTGAATTTTTCTAGCCATGTAAACAAGTTTACATGGACCCATGAATTACAAAGATTACATCGGATGGCTCTTTGATTGTAAGTTATATTTTTATGACAAGTATTGCAGAGAGATTTAAATGCCATAATCTTTAGAAAAAAAATATATATGTATATACAGTATTAACTAGTTAAAGTGACTAAAGTGTGAAATTGAGATTTTTTTTTTTAAAAAAAAATAATAAAATGCAAAGTAGAAGACTAAATTTACTAATTTAAAACTTGGGTAACCGTTGGCGCGAATAATCGAAAACAATTTTAATAACAATATAAAGAAATGATAGAAAAAATTTGTAAGACTAAAGAAAGCTAAAAGCTAACAGTTATAAAATTAAACAATCAAAATAAATAAAACTTTGACAAACCACTAACTAATATTAACAGTAACTAAGACAACTAAAGATATCAAATATAGAAAAATAACTAATAATACTTTAATAATATCTATATTATATTAATAATATATACTAATAATAATATAACTACTGTTAACTGCTATCAATAATAATATTGTTAACATACTAAAATAATAATAAGTAAAAATAAGTCTATAATAAATACCGTAGATGGGGGTAACTAAAGCCTACTGGGAAACTAAAGCCATTATAGCAGGTAATTTTTGGATGGTAATAGTAGCAGCACTGTTTGGATTCAACAGCTGATGTTGTGTTCTTCTAATAGGAACTTGGACTGCTTTCCAAATACTTGTCTGGATTATTAAAACAATATCACGGTATGTGTACAGTAAAACTATATATTTAACCTAAAAAATCGATAAAAAAGTTACCTTGCATAACTTCTGCTCTGAACAAATCATTTTTAATCTTAAATTCTCATAACTCTCAACAAACATAACCTCCATTTATGTTTCATCACACCTTTAAAGGTTATAACCTATAACTTGATTCTTTCTTTTGTTGTGATGTTTTTTTTTTCAGTGATACACAACATGGGGTAACTAAAGCCACATCATAAAGGTGGCTTTTGTTACCCCATACTTTATAATAAGTCAAAATTTCTTAAGTAATAAATTTTTTCTCTTTTTTAGGACTAAAAATGCCTCGAAACCCAAAGAAGAAGCTTGGTAGCCGGAAGTATAAGGATTACACAGATGAAACGGAGATACCAGTAGATCTATAACTTGAAGAAACAACTTATGACGAACCCCCCAAAATAGGAGTCTCTAAAGGAGAACTTAAACCTGATATTTACGTCATTGTTGAGATCATCTTTGATAAGAACACAAAAAAAGAAACCACCAAACAGTTCTATGGAGTCATTCTTAGAACTTGTTTTGAGAAGAACGAAGTTACAGTAAAGTTTTTCAGAAGAAGCTCCAAATCAAAAGGAAATGACTATATATTTCCAAATGTTGATGACGAAATGGACATTCAGTTAACAGACGTCATTTCAATTGTGAAACCATCCAAAGTAAACAGAGGACGTTATACTTTTCCTTATGAACTACCGGTAAAGCACTGATTTCAACAAGACCTATTTTAAATAATATTTTTGTCTCTTTTTAATGTTTTTCTTAAATAAGCTTTTTTCTTGTCAATAGTGGTTCTTTATTGTTACAGATGCATGATTTATGGATTTAGTTACCTAGCACTCTCTAACTAAAGCCAAACATTGCTTTTTAATGGATGGCTTTTGTTACCCCTTTTCCAGGGGTAACTAAAGCCACCATGTTTTTATTTTTTTTATTAAAAAAATGTATATTTCTGCAATTTATGAATATGTTTCTTTAATATATGACCACAGACCCAAGTTTTGCAATATTTATTTAACCTATAAATTAAAGGATCGACTTGGGCAGAAGTTTGAATTTCGAAAGTGGCTTTAGTTACCCCAATCTACGGTAAGCTTATAAAAATATAATATTAAATATATATGTAATAAATAAAACAAGTAGGTATCAAACGAGAACTAAAAATAAATACAATTAACTATAAAAAAATAATATAATGTGAGAAAACAAATAATAATATAACGACAGAAAAATAATAATAACTAATGAATTAAAAATAATAATAGCTAATGAATTATAATCATGATTACAAGTTATATTGTAAAGAAAAAAGAATTATTAAAAAAAAAAAAAAAACCAATCATCGAGCTCTACATTTGCTTTTTCTTCTTTCTTTTTAAATTGATTATTTAATTCATGATACTCATGGTAACTTCTAACGTCCGCAAAATTTTATATCCGCCATGATAGGTGGCAAAAAACTATAAACAAACTAAAGTAGGTTGTAGCTTTCTTAGCAAACTATGCCATATTTGAATTATAAAAGTCTTTATTTATAAGTATTATAGGATATTATAATAAAAATTAGCAGTTCTAGAGATTAATTTAGACCCGTATTATTTATCAAAAGACTAATCTCACTTTACTGATATATTTTATCTAATATGTTATCTTTTTAAATCAGTTCACAAACTCGAGTTTTAAATTCTACAAACGTCTTAAATCTTACAACTTTGTAACCTGTTGTCTTGTTCGTAGCATTCCTTTTAAACTTATTTTTAATCAAGATAATAAACAAGTTAAAACAAGGTCTATGGTCTATATATACAGTAACTGGTCGTATAGGTAGAGTACTTTTTCTAAAACCCTAATGAATTGATGGATTAGCTTTCAAGAAACTTGAGAAATTATAAATGCAATTCAGTCTTTTCTCATGCAAGAGCGGCATCTTATTACATGCAAAACTATATTACAGTAATTTTGAATATCTGAAAATCAATAATATATTTTAGATTATAATTCTTACATTAAAAATATACTTTAAGAAATTTAAAATAATAAACACAATATTTATTAACAAAAAACTGATGTTATTAAGATTATAAAAATAGCAATAAAAATAATAATAACAAGGTCAGGGGCACACAGACTCTTTATGATGTACAGGGTAGATCATTGAAAATTTACTAGATGGCCCTAACTCAGCCACCTCAAAAATAATAATAATAAGACTAATAAAGTACTTCTAGTAATTTTCGTCGTCTGATGATCCTGGATCTTTCACCCTATGTGGACCCTGAACAATGTTCACAATATAGAGTCTTATCTGTTCTAATTCAAAAAAAGTGAGAAACTTTTACAAAAAAAAAACGAGAACGGTTAAAAAGTCATGAACTTATACAACTTTTGAATAAAATATTTTCAAATATAAAAATAACATAAAAATATTTTTAAATAAAGACATCACTAAAGATAAATTTAAATAATTTCAACACTTATAAAAATAAAATCTTAGGTTAGCCAGAACACTTTCTATAGAACACTTCAAATACTAAAAAAATTTAAGTTTATGTAAACTTAGAGTGTTGTTTTTATCAGTGATATTTTCGTACACGAGAACGAAAACGAGAACGAAAAAAAAAGCCTTTCGTTTACGAAAACGAAAACTAAAACGAAATTTATTTTAAGAACGAGAACAGAATAAAAACGATAATTTTAAATTTTCGAACGGAATAAAAACTGAATCGAAAATTATTTTAAAACGAAATATTTTCGTTCTAGATTTGAAACGAGTTGAATCATTTGATATATATAATTATTATATTACAAACATTATAATGATATATTATTCGAACTTAATTGAATTTATTCAATTAAGTTCGAATACGTTTAGTTATGATATAGTTCGAATATATTTATTCGAATATATTTTTTCGAACTAAAAAAAATCAAACTGTAAGACCAACACAACTACGCGATGAGTTTGAGTAAACTTTTTGCTGGTAGGAAGAGGAATAGTTCAGTATGGAAATGGTTTAAATACGATGCGTCATCCGACAAATCAGTATGTTTAGTTTTACTTGATGGTGAAAAAGTATGCAATACAAAGTTGTGTGGAAAGAACCCAACAAATCTTAAAGTTAGTTTATCTGTTAGAGGATATGTTTTCATTTTGAAACAAACGACTCATTTTTATCATTTTAGAGTAATTATTCAATAACGTATACGAACTTATTTATACATTAATTGATAAACAGATAGATAAATAAACATATAAATATACAAACAAAAAATTATATAAATATGTTTATTTTTTTCTAGCTACATTTAGCAAGAAACCATAAGTCTGTACACGTTGAGCTGGAAGAGTCGGAATTAAAGAAATTAAGTGAAAAAAAGCAAACAGGGATAAAGAGAAAAGCAGTGGATGAAAATGGACCCACTCTTTTAGAATCGTCCTCAAATCAGAACCAGACCTTGATTCAATGCATTAATCGTAGGAATACCGCATGGCCTATTAATTCACACGAGCATAAAATTCGACTAAACTCTCTTATTCAAATGATAATTGCAACATGTAATCCAGTGACATTGGTGGATAATGCGAGTTTTAGAAAGTTAGTTAATACCTTGGATTATAAATTTTCATTGCCTGCTTCTGCCAAAATTACTAGCCTACTTAATGAAGAATTTACTGTTTTAACGAGAAAACTTCGTGACTTCATATCTGAAGGCAGGCGCTTCACAATATGCCTTGATGGCTGGACTAAAAAAGGTCTTACTGCGTCCTTTTTAGGAATTTCGGTTTGTTTTTTTCACTTCAAATCCGAAAAACCAATACATACTCTGCTTAATTTGTATTTTGTGAAACATCCACATACAGGTGAACAAATTGCTAATTGTTTTGAAAAATGCCTAAAATATTGGAATATTTCCAGAGAAAAAATATTGCTTGTTATTTCGGACAATGGAGCAAACATGACCAAAGGCATAAAGTTGTCGAGAATGAAAGCTCAAGCTGAACGTGATATACTTATTGAATTAGAAAGTGAGGTTAATGAAGAGCAGATTACAGATCTGGAAGACGATGAGAATATGACAAATAGTGAAGAGTGGGAACATGTTGACTTGATAGTTGATGTAATAGAAAACGTAGCATTTGGAAGATTGGGATGCACTGCACATGTTATACAGCTAGTTGTAAAACTTGCATATAATGGTAAATATCATGGCTTACTTTGGAAGGTACGTGGATTAGTGGGAAAAGTTCGCAAATCTTCTGTTGCATTGGAAAAAATTATCAACAAATGTGGTAAGACTGTGATCAGCGACTGTTCTACAAGATGGAACAGCACTTACTTTATGGTTCGGAGATTTCTGGAAATAAAGACATCTATCAACGAAGTGCTTGGAGACCTTAACATTGATTCACTTGCCAATAGCGAATGGATAATGCTTCAGGATTTTGTCAATCTTTTAGAACCTTTTGCCAATGAAACTGATATTCTTCAGACGGATGCACTTTCACTATCCAGTGTTATACCTTCAATACTTAATTTAGAATGTCACCTTGAGCAATTTGGAGATGCCAAAGATGTAGCAGTTAAAATGCTTGAAGATCTACGCCGTCGTTTTGCCGTTCTTTTGCAGCCAACGATCCTAATTTTAATCCACTGCCATGTGCCGCATGTCTACTTGACCCCACATGTGCAATAGCTCTTTTAGGTAATGAGCATACACAAATCAGAGAGTGTGCAAAGAAATACATTTTGTCAGAGGCTAAAAAATCGGTGCAACATGAATTACCTTTAGCAAGTGCATCTACTCTTTCTGTTGAGATTGCTCCAGAAATAAATGGATTAACAAAATGGAAATTTTTAGCGGCAAAACAGCGAGTAGAAAAAATAAAGCTTATTCCAGGTAATGAAGCACAAAATGAACTCAACAAATATTTTATTGAAATAAGGAACAGCTCTATGTGCCAAAATGCTTTAAATTTCTGGAAGATGAGACGTGCTGTTTACCCACATATTGCACCATTAGTTGAAGACCTCATTGCAGCTCCTGCAACTCAATCATATGTTGAAAGACTTTTTTCAATCTGTGGCTTGCTCACAAATGGACGGAGAAATCAAATGTCAGCGTCATTGGAAATGCGAGTTTTCTTAAAACTAAATTCTCATCTAGTCTAGATGATAATCATATAATCACTAGGCCCTTTATTTGTAAAATAAATGAGTAATTATTAAAGTCTATACAATAACTATTCATTAGTTTTTATTGTTACCAAATTTGAGGAGTTTTTTTTATACTTAATAATTGAAATTTTTTTAAGTTTTAGAGCAATAAGGACAGGTTGTTGTTGTGTTTTTTATTAAGGGCGGTGGGCGGGGCTCTAAACTTCTAGCCATGGGACTGGGTGTATTACATTTAATTAAGATCTCATTTTTTTGTTTGTTTATAGAACTAAGACTTACTTCTTTTAATTATATATGCCTATATTATTTATAAATTATACTAAATTATAATTAGATGAGATAAAAAATTTATACGACAAACGAAAATTGAACTAAATAAAAACTAAAACTAAAATTATTTTAAGATGAACTGAATAAAAACTAGAACTAAATTTATTTACTGAACTGAATAAGAACTAGAACTAAAAACTTTGCCTCTAAACTGAATAAAAACTAAAACTAAAATTATTTTCCGAACAAAAATATCACTGGTTTTTATCAAATATTAAAACCAAATAAAATATTTTGCTTTTACTGCAAAAAATATTTAAAGCAACCCCATTTGCGAGGTAACTTTGAATGATTAAGTAAATAAATATTATTCCTAATCGTTTGATTTAAACATTATTTTAAAGTTGTGTTTTTTAAAAGCCAGTCATAGCACTTATATGCATAATAAAATAATTCAAATATTGTCAATAGTGAAAGAAGGGCATATAAAAATATCTAAAAAATGTTCAAAGTAACCCTGGTTTACGGTAACAAAATAAATTGTTATTATAATAAAATCCATGTGTCTTTTAAAATTTTATATGTTCCTTCTTCTATCTGATTATCCAACCTTTGTTTTTATTGATAGTTAATTTTTGTAATTAAAAAAATGCGATTTTTCCCCTTTCATCAATTGCTGCTTTGCTGTCTTCATTAAGTTTTGAACAGCTGTAAATTTACATGTTACAACTAAGTTGTAAACTGAACTTTGCTATCTTCATTAAGTTTTAAACTGAACGTTGTTTTCTTGATTTTATTTTAAACTGAACTTTGCTGTCTTCGTTACGTGTTGAAGTGCAGTGTTTGCTGTCTTCATGAAGTTTTAAACTTAACTTTGATGTTTTTATAAAGTTATAAACTGAATTAAGCTGTTTTCATTTAGTTTTAAACTGAACTTTGCTGTATTCATTAAGGTTTAAACTAAATTTAAAAAAAAAAGTTCTTTGAATCAGCTATTAATATTATTTTCTTCAATGAGCACTTTTGGTAGATCTCTTGTTCAAACGATTTGATGTATTATATACAATAAATTTCTTTTACTTTTTATATAAAGGTGTTTAATCGAGGAAAAAAAGTCAGCGTGGTTTTTATCAACACTTTTTCTTCAAAGCTCGAGTGTTTATGTGTAAAAATCACAGTTCGGCTAAACTAAAGTCTTTCTTTAAAACCGCTCGTCATAACGTCCATTGCTCTTCTTTTTTTTGAAAACTCATTAAATTTACTGCATTTTAATTTTCTGTTTTCGCAGTTTGGTACGCAACAACTCGAGCTGTAATGTCAAAAAAATGTCAAAGATCATCGACGTTTTTTTTATTTGTTTGCCAATCCTTTTTGCCACCCATCATGGCGGATAATTTTGCGGACGTTTGGCGCTTAGATGATAACCATGGACTCTTTTTTTCTTTCTTACTTTACTTTCGTTCTTTTGTTTACCTTTTTTTTTTTTGTATTTTTTTTTTTTTTTTTTTTTTTTGATTAAGTTTATAAAGTGTTTTTTTTTTTTTTTTGCTAAATTCGAAGTTCTTTTTTCATTTTTTTTTACGTATACTTTTTTTCTTTTTGAATGATTTTATATGGGCGTGTTTGCTTCAAGTTAATTTATATGATCGTTGATGAGTTATTTGTGGTTATAAAATAAATAAATAATTAGAATTTTTATGTATAGTTTGGTTTTTTCTATATTATTTATCTTCAATTTTCTCTTTTGTCGTTATAAAAACGCATCTACCATTTGCGAAGGCCTTGCGAAGATCCAAAAAAAATTATCTAATAAATTATTAAATGTGCACATGTGCACTCACTCGACACAAACGAATGTTAAAAATCTCAGCTAACAATTTCATCTTAACTATTCGGTTCCCTGTAATACTTTTTTATAAAACAGTCAATAAGAAATTCAACCTTTGAACCATTTAACTTCTAATAAGAAACTATTTGCAAAAACATAAATCTAAGGTCAACTTTAAAATGATGGTAAAAAAGGTGAAAAAAAATTCTCAAAAATGGTTGTTATGTGCGTTGCTAGGGGAGTTAAAATAACAGTAATCTAAATAAATGAAATTTTGATCAATTTTTGTATCCATTTGAAAGAAAATTAATATCACCAACAGTTTCTTTGATAAATTTAAGTTAAGTTGAGTGTAATTTTGAAAAAATATTTTTTTAAAACAATTTACACTTTTTAATGGGGTTGTACCCCCTTAACAAACTGTTACGGCTGTTTGTGTAGTAAACGTTCTGCGCTTTGAATTTATATGGTTCAAGTGCAAAACTTTGTTTAGTTGGTACACAAAAGTGTTCAGAAACAAAAAAACAATCTTTGTGCAATAACTAAAAAGAAAAAACTTTTCGATACTGAGAAACGAACCTTGAAACCCTCGTTCTACTAGCCGGAGGCAGAATCCACTCAACGACGCTTAAGCTTTAAGTGCCCAGAAAACCCAGAAAATTAACATTTTTGCATGTATAATATGTTTATTGATTAAATATTTAATTATATATAATATTTTGCATATATTATTTATCGGAAATATAGATTTTTAAAATTGATATCATGTTTAGGAGAGCGATGTTAATTTGTACAATTTTACATGGAACTATCCTCGCAGTCGGAAAGTCACGTGGTTATTCAAAATAACAATAGCGCAAGTTGTTAGCATCTTGGATGGGGTAAAACAAATGATTAGTTGAGTTAATAAAGAAGGACAATTAGTACAAAAAAGTGATTTAAAGAGTTTAAAAAATGAAATATCAGTTTACGAATACTTTGAAAAATTAGATTTTAACGCCACAGAAAAGTATATAAATAAATTTGCAATCCTTGGAATCAATGCTGTCTACACAAGTAAATACTTAAGAAGATGATCAAACTGAATGACCATGAGTTCAATACCATGACGTTTATAATTATTTATTAAAAAGTCCTATAATATTTACTTTTGAGGCTATTGGTAATTATGAAGCATTAGATGCTTATAAATATTTTGGCTTAGGCTAGATGCACGAAGTTTTTCACAAGACATTAGGCTCTAGTTTTGTTGTTTTGAAAACACAAGTCTGACTTGTGCGTTTAAAACAAAAAAAAGGTACAAAATTGTTGCGTAATATTGGGGGGAGGGGGAGGTCAATAAAGTGTTGCGTTTGTGTTACGAGGAGGGGAGGGAGTCAAAAAATGTCAAAAATTGTGTGACATAATTTATGGACGACCCCTAAGTCCGTAAGGACTTCTGGGAGTACCCTAAAGGTGAGTTTCCACTCATCCGTTTAAATACAGGCACGGGATTGGAAAAAGGAAAAAAAATCACGTAAGCGCGCGTAGTTTTTTTTTTACCGTTCGCGTATAAAAAAAGGATGAGCTTTAAAACCCACATAAAAATTAAAGATAAAATGAATAAATAAATAACAAATCACAAAATAACTTTCAAAGTTTTTACATATTTATAGTGGCGCCAAAACACAAATTGTTTCTTTTTGTAACTAATTTTTTTTTTTTCACATAAATACAACTTTGGATAAACTACATTTATTTGTAAAATTTAATAAAATACCTTAACGACATTTTTATCTGTCGGTTTTTATCTGAAACATTTTTATCTGAAACATAGTTTAACTGTATTATACTTCAAAGATCAGAACAAATATATTAAAAAATCATGTTATTGTATTATATTAAGTAATAAATTGCGAGTTTGTATTGAGTAGTTTAATAATTGCGCTGAATATGATTTTTTTTTATTGAAAAGTGGTTTTATTTTGTATTTGCTAAATTCTTCTGTTATACCGTTTTATATATTATTAATATAGTATTCTTTTATAAAAACCAATTGTATTCTTGAATAACTAGAAACATTCTAAATTTTGTTATGTGTAAGTTAGATAGTTATAAACGAATAAAAAATTTAATAAGTGAAACAGAGATTTTTTTTAAGGTCAGCGAGATATTATTTCAAACGCAAAATACAAAAACATTCAAACAAAAAATACGTAAAACGAAGTAAACAAATGAGTTACTTGTTAAATAAAAAATTGTAATTGATTCAAAACTGATTTAGAAATGTTTGTGTTGGCGGTGGTTTTGTTTTGCGTGTTTGCTATTCTAGCTTTAGTTAACGCATATTGTATCGGTACACGTTGCATGAGAGTAGGTTCGAACCGTGAGAGTTCACATTTTAGTCCGTGCACTTTTTATTAGAGTTACCAGTTGTATCG